TAATATATAATATAATGTTTATAGTATATAATATATAAGTATACTACTATAAGATGAGTAATACACTTATATTTTATACTTTAATATATAAAGTATATATTAAGTAGATGTAGAATGTATGTATTAAGTGGATATAATAATTGTATAAGAATTAAATATTAGAGTATAACGGAGAATTAGAGATTGGAAAATAAGAAAATAAGTATATATAAAATAGATATTATAAAGTATATATAAAAGTAGATTTTATAAAATAAGTATATATAAAATAGATATTATTAAATAGAGAAGTAGATATTATTATGTATTAAGTATATAGTAATAGTTTATAAAGTATATTTAATACTTTATTATATAAAGTATATATTAAGTAGATGTAGTATGTATGTATGTATTAAGAGATATAAGTAGAGATTACGTAGATAAGAAATATAAGTAATATAGTATATGTATTTATAAGTAGATAATTAATATATAAGTAGATATAATAATTGTATAAGTATTAAATAGTAAAATAAAATATAAAGGAGAATAAGAGAATTTGAGAAGATGAATATGGAGAATTGGAGATGAGTAGAGAGTAGGATTTAGGGAGAGTTGGAGAAGAGGTGTGAAAAAATGTTTAAAATTAGGAGTATTTATAGGTTTTTTTTTAACCCCCACCCCCCACCCCCCACCCCCCCAAAGGCCCCGGACCCCCCAACGGCTATATAGCCGTTTGGGAAGTGGCTGTTGAGCCATAATGGGTTTTTTAAATTTAAAATAATTTTTTTTTTAAATGACCGTTAGGCCCGGGCCCGACCTGGCCGGGCCGGGCCACCAAAAACAGAACCCGAGCCCGGACCCGCTTATCCCACCGGTTTGGTGCCCGAACCGAACCCGGACCCGGGAACCGGGCCGGTTCCGGGCCCGTACAGTGACGGGCCGGGCCGGTCCCGGGCCGGGCGGCCCGAACCGGGTCCACCACTAAGTAGGAGTGCTGCTAGATTAATTATTAATCTTTCAGTTATATGTTTCCGTATCAATATTTATTTAGCAATTAGCAATGGAGTAGAATTTATATTTTTGGCTAGTAAAATTAGTATTTTTTGGGATTGAGATTAGCTGGGCATATCGGTTTTCGGTTTGGTTTTCATCGGTTTCGGTTCGGTTCGGTTTGGCACGGGTTGGAAGAATTATTACCAAACAAAAATCATACGGAGTACTATTTTTCGGTTTGGTTCAGTTCGATTTAGTTCGGTTCGGTTCGGTTTGGATTTGTTAATTTTAATAATACATGAAGGTATTTTTTGAATTTCTTTTAGTTCAGTTTGGTTTTGTTCGGTTTTTATCGATTTTGGTTCAGTTCGATTTAATATGGTTTGGAAGAAATATATTACCAAACTCAAACTAAATTGCATGTGGTCCGGTTTCGCTTCGGTTTGGTTCGGTTAATTAAACCAAACCGTTATGGATTATGCCCACCTCCTAATTGAGATTCCAATTTGACGTATGTATGTATTTGAGGTATAAATATGCCTCTTCTTTAGCAATAAAGCACTTTGAGAATTTCTCAATTAAACTAGTCTTCTATCATCGTGAGATAGAACCGGCCGTCTCTTTGCACCATAAGCAAAGACAGTTTCATCAATTGGCAACTAAAAATCATGACTCATAGGGAGTGATTAAATCAGATGGAGCAATCCCTAACTCAAATCACAGAGTCATTTAGCACCATGGCCATTACCATGGAATCCATCCAAAAATCTTTATAAAGGCAATCAGATCACCATCAACGACACACAGATCAGGAATACGCAAGCAAGGACCATGGTAATTTTCGACATCTAGTTCTTCCCCATCTCATAGCGATGAAGATGACAATAATATAATGTGCACAACAGTTCATCCCACAAACCGGACAAATTGGAGTGGAACAATTTCCGGGTAACCAGACATGATCATTGTAAGCTTGATTTTCGTATGTTATGTGGAGAAGATGTCCAGGTATGGTTTGACAACACCCGAAAACACTTTGCAATGAAAGGTATCCTAGGTCGACAAAAGGTTACCTTGGCATCCTTCCATCTCGAAAGAGAAGCAAACCTCTGGTGACAATGGTAGTTCTCCAAGCGCTGGAAACGAGGTGAGGCATCGTGCAGTGGCATCAGTTTGAAGCCGATATTTTGAAGAAATTTGGCCCCTCCAAAATTTGAAAACCAGGATGAGCTCCTAAGAAAAATCCGTCAGACCGGTACATTCAGGGACATGGGCGGAGGGAGGGGGCCTTCATACGCCCTGACCCAGTGCAAATCTTATTTTTTCCATTAGTAAGTATTTAAATAAAATAAAATAATTGGTCCGACCCAGACGCCCAGTGCGGCCCAGTGAGTTCTTAGATTTGACCCAACTGTCTATACTCCAAAAAATTGGGGACCTCTTTCGTGGAGCTGCTCAATCTTAATCGGCTAATATAATGCTACTGAAGTATGGAGTAATAGTTAATAACTTAATATAGAGTAATATGTAGTACTCTGATTCTTCTGTCCCGTTAAACTTGTCTCATTGTACATTTTCGGTCCGCCTCACTAAGATTGTCCCATACCAAATTAGTAAAGTTTGTGTGATTCTAAATCATTCTTACTTTATTTTTAATTTATTCTTACTTTATCAATTTAATATTAATCACATAAACCACTTTATATTGGTTTACGTGACCTCCCTTTTGTCCCATTGTTAGTGGGACGGAGAAAATGGTATGCAAATAAATACGAAGTAAATGATACGGAGTACAAAGTATAAACAAGTAAACAACATTGCTAGCTAGAAGTCTAGAAGTATACGTTGTTATTGCTAATATGTCAAAACTTTTGATGCACTATGTGGCTATTTCAATGAACAAAATAAAAAAGCAAGTCCGTAATTAGGACATTATTAAGCTGAGAAAGAGTTACAAATTGGAGTGATGAAAGATTAAGAACGGCACTAACAATTTATATTTTAATTTCAGGTATAATTAAATGTTCATGTGTGCGAGTGTTTTACAGTTTTATTATGTATATATGTAATTAGTTGAATTTCATAATGTCAATTATCAACATTGTAATTTTCTTGGTGAAGTCTTGTTTGAGAAATTAAGTTTTAAAGAATTTTTTAGTTTTTAGGATTTTTTTTTTTTACTTTATGTTTGTTTTCTGGCTCTAATTTACAAATTGTCTTTTTAAAATTGTTTCCTAGATTTTGAGTTTTTAAAAATTTATTTAAGTGTTTTTGTGATTGTATGAGTTGAATATGAAATTATAAACGTTGTGATTAAATAAGGTGTTAGTTTTAATGAACATTTCTACAATGATGTGATAATTAGGCTTGACGAGACGCATCTCTCGGTATTTTTGTTTTAAATTAATTTTTCGAGTATTTTTGAAAAGGTAGATTCTATGGTACCTAAAAGGTACTGTATCTTTGTCCACATGGACCAATCAGAATGTTGCAGTTGAATTATTTAAGTCTAAATTAAAATTGATATACCTATGTGGACCAATCAAGTGAATGGTAGGTACGGTACCCCATTTTTTTAAATGGGTACCGAAATTCTCACCTTTTGAAAATTGAAGTTACTATTTGTTGACATGATCGATCGGGTCTAACATCACATCAATCTAGAAATGAGGAATAAGTTTAGAAAATTAGAAGTACCACTAGTTGGGAAATAAGATTGGAAAGCTAAGTACTCATCAAAAAGTGAGGGCACTATACCTATCACCAGGGGCGGATCCACGAATTCGGAATGCCCTGGGCTGAATAGCAGTTATACCGGGCTTAAATATTATCGACTTAATATATACTTATTATCTACTTATACATCTCCATCTTTTTAATATTTACTTTATTATCTATATTTATTGTTATTAATTACTTATATTAAAGTATTATATATAAGTGTATTATATTACTCATCTAATCATCTTATAGTAATATACTTATATATTATATACTATAAACATTATATTATATATTAGTTATACAATTATCTACTTATATACCTATATTATATTACTAATATTTATTATCTACTTAATATATACTTATTATCTACTTATACATCTCCATCTTTTTAATATTTACTTTATTATCTATATCTATTGTTATTTACTTATATTAAAGTATTATATATAAGTGTATTACTCATCTTATAGTAATATACTTATATATTATATACTATAAACATTATATTATATATTAGTTATACAATTATCTACTTATATGCTAAGTCTCTTGAGACGCTTATATGCTACCACGATTGGTTGAAGGCCATACGTAGAACTCAAGAAATTAGCAGCACCCCCTCCCAAGACTTTATGGATGAATCAACAACCGAGGGTGGTTCCTATGCCGGAGATTCCGATTGATTAGTATTTTACAATTTATTATAAAATGTATTTTGTGTTTTAATTTCCCCCTCAATTCTCTATTGTAATTTGTAAACTTGTAGTTCATATTTCAAATAAATATACATTCTTTTTTTTTATATGTAGCACTTCTCAAATTAATTAATTGTTACAAACTTACAACTTAGAATTAATTATATTAGTATTTATTGAAAAATGTATTTCATATTTAAGTTGGATTGATAAGTTAAAAAAAATATGTTGGCCTGACCCAACCCGGCGGGTGGCCCGGCCCGAGACCCGGCGGGTGACCCAGCCCGAACCGGCACCGGGTGAAGGACGGGCCGGTTCCGGGCCCCCCATTCCAGGACCGGAGGCCCGGGCCCGACCCGGCCCGAGTCTAGGCCTATTATCGAGGTGGGCTAAATGTGAAAATGAAAAAAATACACTAAAAATATTGATTTTTTAAGTTGTCCTGGGCTTCAGCCCACCATAGTCCGTACATAGATCTTCCCCTGCCTATCACCTATTTGATTTATCCAAATCATTATTTCGTGATTTATTTATATTTAAATTATTTAATAGCACTATTTTTATTAATCCGGCCATGTGAATAAGGTAAGGTACCTTGTCCGGCTCTATGGAATTTGCCTACGTATAATTGAAGTTTTTCATATATAGTTATTACAACACTTTTACGTATCATTCCCAATATTATATTGCTACAGAATTGCACAAGATGAAGCATTTACAGGTGGAGAAAGAGGAGCTAGAAATTGATGATCGATTCGAGTTAAATAAAAATCAAAGAATGCATTCTAATTAAAGTGGTCTGAGCTAATAAGGGAGTTAAGTATGCCCGCAGTTGCCGTTGATTGTTGATAGCGGCCGTTATTAGTTTCATCGATCAATATATAATTCCTATCCTAAATGCATCAAATATACAGCTAGCTAGCTCCTTTTGGCGCTTTTTGTTGACATTGGTGATGATGAAGTGTGACAGCTTTCGTCCTACTCACAAAATCAGATATAAATATTAGTAAAGAATACATAGTTTAATATACAATTAGTAGGAGCTAGTACGGAGTATTAATTAAGTAAGGTGGCTTATTAAATATAATTATTAGCTTAGTACGTGTGCATGCATGCGTCTATAATACGTACGTACCATTGCATCAGTTCTGCTTCTTGTCATAACGTTAGGCCGTCCACGCACATTGTGGTTCATCAAATCCAAGTGGCTCGACTCCTGCAAGTATATATAACGTTGGTCACGAAAATTTAGTTCATTTTGGTGTTCGATCTAAGAACAACCCAAGCTACCTTAGCAGCTATGCTAGCTAGCTAGTTCCTTATGCATGTGAAAGACATTTTGAAGGTTTAATTTCATTACCAAAAACATTACTGTGGCACAATGCTTGAGGACCTCCAAGTTCATTCGAACATCATCCAAGCTCCTGCAAAACCAATCACATCATTACTTCAAATTCTCACATGCAGCACTATACAAGTATATATTATGCATGCATGTCTTCGATCAAGCTTCTTGCCAAGTCATTGCTTGAGATTATGCTCTCTAGCTAACCTGTGTTTCTGCTCTCCCAGTCCAAAGTATTCTGCTAATGTTGCCATCTAATTAAGGGACAACACAATTACCATGTTATATAATGATCAAATTAAAGAGAATATATATTGCCAAGAAAAAAGCACGTAATAATTTGTACGGGGAACCCTACATATTACAATAAGTGTCTCAGTAGGCTTTTCACGTAATTTAAAACAATTTATAAGTTTACTGTACACTTTTTTATAAAGCATGAGAGTTTTGGTACTGTAGCAGTACTGTTTCCTTTATTAAAATGTACTGCAGTTGCTTTGGGATTGATTTATTTCCAAAAATGGAAGTGAGACACTTATTGTGATACAACCCAAAAAAGAAAGTGAGATTCTTATTGTGTTATCGAGGAGTAATATTTACATATGGATAACTTTTCTCATTAATCCGGACTGACTGGAGTAGCCGTCCGGCGCCTCCATTTGTGGTGCTTCCGGTGGAATTTCTTGATGAAGTTATGTGAACATATTCTTCATGAGGTGTACGTAAATTATGTCCATAAAAGTTCACCCAAAAATTCGAAGGTCAGTTAAATAAACTACGGAGTATTAAAAAACACTGCGTTTTTATATACTCCCTCCGTTCTCTAATAGATGAGAGTATAGGCTTTGGCACACGTTTTAAGAAGGAATTAATAGAGGTAAGATAAAAGGTGTAGTGAGTTGTGTGTAAAGGAAAAAGTAGGAAAGAGAAAGAAAAAGTAAGAAAGAGAATGGGGGTATATAAGTATATTTATTGAAAAAACTTTCTAAAAGAGAAAGAGAGACATGTATTGGAGAACATCCCAAAACGGAAAGAGACACATGTATTAGAGAACGGAGGGAGTATATATTGACACAATAATTTTCAATAGTTTATTTAACTGACTTTCCGATTGAATTTTAAGTTTAAATTTGTTGACATAGTGCACTTAATGAAGAACATTCTCACAAATTTTATCAAAAAATCCTTGCAGAAACCCTCAAATGGAGGCGGATGGATGGCCGTTTCGGTCAGTCCGAACTGATGAGAATAGTTCTCTTTACATATGTGGTACGGAGTATATACTATATTTGTGTGTGTGTGTTTATAGAGGGAGAGAAATTATCTGGTCAATTATTTAATTTAACTAAAACCTATATATAAAAAGAAAGACGAATAAGTTCGATCTTACGAGTTATTTACCATATGAAAAATCTTTTACGTAGTAATAAATTAGAAAATGAATTAGTGTATACATCTTTTAATTTACCAATAAAAGTATAACTCCGATTGGACTATGGCTATGTTTGGTGCGCCATTTCAACTCATAATAGGCTGATTTTTTTTTTTTTAAATCACTCATTAATTATTCAAGTAGGTGTGTTTGGATAAAAGGCTAAAGTGGGATGAAGGTCATGAAGCTGACAAATAAGGCTCAATTGAAAGTTAGAGGAGCTAGCGTTTCTATTCGGTCAATTACATAATACCCAGCTGTTCCTAAATTATCCCCCCCATTCACTCTCTGCCTCTTCTGATCTTCTCAACACGTTCACCACTATGCTAAAAAATCACCCATTCTACACTGCACCAATTTTGTGCCAACAGAGTAATATTTGTCTGATATATAGAGTAATATTTGTCTGATATATATATATATATATATATATATATATATATATATATATATATATATATATATATATCGTGGCTGGATTTTACTTGGTATTGCGAAGTCAGAGATATATTGACATTTGGTCAGTTTAGCTAATTAAATAAAATTTGACCCGTTAGAATATGTTTCCATCCACCCATTTGATTTTTCTAAAAAACCATTCCAAATCCAAATGTAGCTTATACTACTATTCTGGAAGGGTGTGTGTATAATAAATTCAGAGATGGATGGTAAAAAATACGGAGTAACTTTTTAGGGACCTTAAACAAAGAAAAGCTGTATTTGCATGACAAAAAAAATATACTTAAGCTTATATATATACCTTCATATTTCCAGCTCTTCTTCCGAATGTCCCTGTTAAAACTGTAAGGGAATCGATGGTGCCAACAGGGACAGGTGGAGGGAGGCCAGCCTCAGCAAAAGCCTCCTTAATACGAACACAATCGAATCTTTGAATGTTATGCCCTGCCCATATCCGGCCATCCATGATGTTGAATATCTTCTCTGCAACTTCCTCAAATGGGGGAGCATCAGCAACAGCCCCACGTGTTATTCCACCGGATCGGCCCGATCTCACCCCCACGACAGATAAGTCCCCTGGCCTGATCAGCGTGCAGTAGCTCTCCATCTCTGCCAACCTCTGTGGGCAGACCACAATCGCACCAAATTCTAGCACCGAAAATTTCTGCCCCTTTTTCCTGGGCACTGTAGTTTCCAGGTCAAAAAACACGATCTGTGACGCCCTTTCTTTATTTGTCATTCTTTCGGTTTTAATTAGATCTTTCAGGGATTAAGATTGCAATTTGATTGAAGTAATGGGTTGTGGTTATCTATATAAAAAGAAATGCCTGTAGAGAATGAGTACGTGGGATGATTATTGATGAAGAGGAATTAAGAATATTCTTTCATGTCGTTTGGGAGATTGTTTGTCCTGTAACTCAAGTTTGAGTTCTAGTTTGTGTTTGGACCAAGTTGTCCATAGTATGCTTCCTTTATCCCGTGGTTCATTTTCCATTGCACCAAGCTGATGATGGCTTGGCAGAATTGAGAATTCTGCTCAGACTTGATCTTCCACTACAAGCGATCTTTAATCGGGAGTTTCGGTTTTATCTTGTATACCTGTCATTTTATATGGTCTATTGGTATTCAACGATCACTAATTCTTGTTGTTTTTTTTATCTAAACGATCAATAATTCATATTTATCTATTGAATATGATCAGAGTATTATACAGAGTAGTATCTAAATCATCTTCAATTCTTCAAAGCCTTCTATGGGGAACCTTTTTTAGAAAACAACTATTGGAAGTTTTGGAAACATCAAACGCAACTACGCAAGCAACCGCTCTATCATCAATTGTTTTCCTTTTCTGTTGGGTTTGAGAAATGCTTAAACCTCTGAAATGAAAAGTCCGGACAAACAACCATCTCAACACTTTACATACATTATTTAATTAAAAGATACTGTATTTGGAAATTTAATCGCTTGATAATAATTTACTTCGTAGCTCCTTACGTGTCATTTATAAGCTTTTTTGAAAGGAGAAAGAACTTATATTAAAATACCAATCAAATCAAGAGTTACAGCTATTCAATAGCTCAAAAACTACCACCTATCTTCCAAAACACTCCGTTTAGACTAAAAAATGCTCTACAAGCAAACTCTGAGTCGGGCACCTCCAAAGAAGCAGTGTGAATCGTTGACCACCAAACGAGCACCATAAAATTCTTACTAAACTTCAAGGTCACAGTACATTTCACCACTTCACTAGACTCACAATAGCCAAAGAGTCCCCTTTAAGGGATTTCAGTTCACTGTTCACCCACAATTGAGCGAAACTTTTCGCTAAACATGAGGGAGCTTTTAAGCAATTAACGACTACAAAAGTCTCAATACCTCCGATAACAACTAAACTATACATCTCAAGACTTGCCACAAACACAAACAATTCAAAAATAAGGTAAATAATATGACAAAAGAAAAATAAAACTTGAAATAAATATAAAGCAAAAAACTGCAGGTGGCCCTATCCAAACTTGAAACGTCAACTTCCAACCCTATCCACCCGTTCACTCAATGACGGCGGTTTAGGAGGGGGACAGACCATAAACACTTCATCTTCTTCCTCTAAGACTAAATGATCTTAGACCTATTCTAAATCATCAAACTCACCTTGCTCCTTGTTCATCTCATTCAGTGTACTCCCCTGAAGCCTCAACTTCACGGTACAAGAGCCTTGCTGACTCCTGCCTATCGCCAATTAAAGATCCCTGTTGTTTCCTTCAACTGTATGCTGCCGACCTCCAAACTTTGCACTGTGGGTCCACGAAACAAGCCTGTAGATCGGAAAGCTTGCTCTGGTGCCCAATGCTTTGCCTATGCCACCGTATGGGATCACACTGAAACCATAGGCATTATGCCTCCCATCCGCTTTGTATTTTGGAAAAGTTAGTCTCACGGAATGAGGTTAGGTCATTTATATGCTTTTATTACCATGATAATATGACATTCCTACAATTAACTTTTTCCTTCAAACATGTTCAGAAAACTTACACAGTGAACATGAACATCTATGCTTTTCAAATTGCACCAAGACCAAACATGTATGACTATCCCAATTTAGTAGGGCACATGCGAAGACAGTTTCAGGTTTAACCCAAAGAACAATCCGGATGAAAATACATTGCATTAAAAATTGAAACTCTACACGACAAGCATTCAACAATGACAATCTATAATAATTTCAAACATATAACTTCACCTCATATCCGTGTACAAGCCGAATCAAAGTCATCTGGAGCAACCCTAGCAATCCAATTATTAAGAGTCTTCTTTATATCGACATGGTTGACATATGCCAGTTCATACATACTACACAGATTAACCACCACAGTCTCATTCAGTGCTACTGTGGGAACTCGCTCCAAGCCATTCTCCAACACTTTGATCCCATCCGACAAGTCCCTCAAATACATCAAACACAATGCCTTGTTGTTTAGCGCCACTATATCCATCCCCCCATCCCTTTCTATGCATTGCTCATACTCCCTCACTGCAGAAGCATAGTCCTTTCCTAGTATATATATCAATGCCGTGTTCCTGCTCACTAAATTCTTCAACCTCACGTCACTGTCATTTTCTATCTTGTTTTCTACTGCTTTAAATGTCCTTTTTGCACCATCCACATCCCCATACTGCATCTGAACGTATCCTAATTTTGACAACAAGAATGGATCATTCCCACACTCTCTTTTCCCGATCAATTCGCTGAGCAAATCAAAACAAACCTTGAACTCCTTCTGACTCAAGTGGTAACTGATTATTGTATTCATCACAAAACATTCGCGCCTCCTCCACAAACCTTCGGAAAGTTTAGACCTTGAAGACAATGCGTTGGTATTTAGTTTTTTGGATCGAATGAAATCAAGGAGGGAATAGAGGCGGTCTAGAGCCTGCTGGCGTTGGCCTAGTGCGGAGGGGAGATGGGCGTGGATCCACCGGAGGGCAAAGGGGACCATGGAACCACTGGAATTGGGGTAATGATTAGGGTAAGTTTCATATAGGTACTGTGAGCTCTCAAAATCGTCGCCTTCAAGCACGGCGTTGAGTTCGTTGCTGGCGTCGGGGAAGCGGCGGAGCTTCGTGAGAGCAAGGACATTGTAAGTGAGGTAGATGAGGTGCTCGTGGGGCTTCGTGAGGAGGGAAAGAGAACGAGCGTGGCCGACCTTGTCGAGGACCGACCGCCAGGCCCCTCGGCAGGCCAGGTCCTGCAGGACGGCGAGATCGTGGCAATGATCGTTTAGCGAGCCGTAGTAGGGATTGTTTAGCGGGTCATCGGTGGTGGTAGCAGTAGCGGCGGGAGTGGCGTTTGCGGGGGATCGATCTGGATCCGCTGTGTCCATTGTCAATCTGGGATTGCTGACCTCCGCCGAATTTTGAATTTTTTTGTCTTCGGTTTATTCACATCAAGAACATAAAATGGATGATGGATTTATGGGTAGTAAAATATGAACCTGATTCCGGCTTAATGAAGCCCAATAGCCATGGCTTGGGCTTAGCACCCTAATCAGGTCATTAAGTGCTTTTTTTAAAATATAGTGCTTTGTTAAAAGGGAAATTTACCTATATATTAGCAACTTACCTGAGAAGCTCATTCGTAAAGACAAAGGCTATGTTTGGCAGGCAAAAGTCCCTGCCTTCTAGCTTTTGTATTATTTAAAAAGTCTCTAAAAGTTCCTAGTTGTATGTTTGGATGACAATTTTAAGAGCTTTTCCAAAAATAAAAAGCTCTTTTTTGAGATGCTATAGGGAGTAGCATATGAAAAAAGTCTGTGACTTTTAGCATTAATTAGTCCCAACAGCTTCTATACCAAACAGAACTAAACCAAACAGTCGGCTTTTTACCAAACAGCTACGACCTTTTACTTTTAAGATCTTTTCAGTCACTAAAAGCTAACCGTTACTAAAAAGTCTGTAAAAGTATCTTTTCAGCTAGTTGTGCCAAACATACCCAAAAAGTGAAAAGACTTCTCTAGCTGCGCACACCGTTGTGCCCAAGCAGTATGCAGAGCGGTGTGCGCATGAGAAGTTATTGTTCAAGTAAGCGGAAGAGTTGGTTGCGCACACGACCGTTTGACCAATCTTGTGCGGCTAAAATACAGCTAAAATGTCAGATTTTTGTATATAAACAAGCTTCAAACCCTTGTTTGGGGTTATAGAATTCAGAGAGTCTCAAACGAGAATTTCGTGGTTTTTCAGCTTTGATTCTTTAAAGTTATGGTATTTTTTGTAAGTTTTTTTTCAATTAATGACAATTAATTCTTACCTTCAATTCTATTGGTAATTCAATTATGAATGGTGAGTAGATTTAATTCGGGATTCGCAATTGATGAAAGGACATAATTCATAATTTGGGGTTCGTTCTTAATGGATTAATTGCATGATTATTATTTAATTTATGTGTGAATAATTTAAATGTTAAGTGTTATAATCATGAACGGTTGTTAGGATTATAATTGCATATAGAATAATTTAATTGAGATCTAAATTGTTTTAGGACACTTTGACACATCGCCACTAGCTAAGAGATTAGCAAAGCTAGGGAGTCGTACGCTCGCTCACTCGTTTTGGCAACCATTTAGAAGCCTACTGCCTATTGCATGAGATATCAACCATGCTCTCAAAATCATTGTACTCTAAGAATTCAGTATTGATTAGTGTTGTTCGATTAAATAATTTTGATATGATTAAGGCTGAACAACCTCGAAATTTGGTTGCCCCGAAATCAATCCATGTTCCCTTCATGTGATTTAGCATTATTTCCGTCTCATTTTAAATTGATCACTACCTAATATATTTTCTATATGTGATCACCCATTTAAATATGCCACTTAAGCAAGAGTATTTTCTATCCATGATTATTTTATATATACGAAGCATGAATCGATTATTCTCTCTCCATGCATAATTGGGCACTCATTTGATAATAACGTGTCCAATATAGCTTAATGGAAATGATCGTGCATGATTTGATTTTAGAATGGAAATTTATGAGAGAAACGTTGCATGCTTATCTATGATAAGTATAGGATCCCATGATATGCTCATCTTCTGTTCTTAAATATTTATTCTATAATTGTGTGAATGTGATCCGAATAAGTCTGGTGCACCACGAGAGAAGGATTGCGAATTCTCACACAAGGAAGGATTTTCAAATGATACAAAGGCAAGTCTCACACTTAATAACTTAGCCATCCAAGGAAGGAAGGTCTCAACGGATCTATCTCTACCATCCTATATATCGAGATCAAGAAGAAGAAGTGTGTACTTGACAAAGATAGAATATAGAGAGACACATTAACTAAAGAACGACCGAAGCTCAAGGCACCTGAAACTGTTCATATTGCGTTCTAGATATAGTTTCCCTTTTTCCCTTCTTCTCTTTGTAATAGGGTTTTGAGAATTGACTAACTGTAGCATCCTCGAGGTTGGTAAGTGTATAGTGAGAGGTAAAGCTGAGGGGCTCTCTACTCGCAAGGTAGAGAAGCATAACTCTTTCTAGAGAGGATAGAGTTGCGGTGACTCAAGGGTAGACTAGGAGAATTTCTCTTGTAACCATTCAAAGGCTTTAGTGAAATTGTTTCAAATTCCTCCGAGAGAGGTCGAAGTTTTTTAATCTCTTTTGAGCCAATGGATTTTTCCTCGTTAAATCCTTGTGCACTTATTTAATTTATCTCGCCCTATTCCCTACACTAGAACTTGGCGAAAAACTACCACGTTTCGTTCCACACACACACAATTCACCCCCCCTCTTGTGTTACTAACCGTTTCATCAAATAATAATAATAATATTATTAGTAATAATAATAATAATAAATATAATAATAATAATAATAATAATAGGAGGAAAGGGTCAATTGAGTACATTAACTTGTATGAGGTGGAGTAATGAGTACAATATATTGCATTTGAAATTCATAAGTACATAAACTCGGTTTTAGTGTTAACTGAGTACACCTAATAGATTAACACCTTAATATGACTGAGTTGGTTAATGGAATGCTGAGTAAGACGGGGAAGTCGATCAAGGGGAAGTAGACCAAGGTTTTGGCGTCGACCAAAAAGGGAAAGCCAACCTTCAGAGGTCGACCTGCAAGGGGCGTCGACTTGCGGGGGGGCGTCGACCAAGGGGAAGTCGACCTGCGGGGGACTGGCGTCAACCCAGGGGAAGTTGACTAAGGGGTTAGGGGCCACCAACCTTCAGGAAGTCAACCTAGTAGCATATCGTTAGCCAAATCAAGTGTATTAACGTGTTAATCTAACATGTGTACTCAACGAACACTAAAAACCCGAATTTATGTACTTAGGAATGTCAAATGCAATATAGTGTACTCTTTATTCCATCTCATACCAGTTGATGTACTCAACTGAATTTTATCTCGTGAATAATAGTAATAGTATTAATAGTACGTATTTTGACATGCATGTTGCACCAAAGGAATTGAGGCACAAAAGTGGTTTTCAACATTGTTCCAACAATCCTACAAGGCTGCAACTTGTAGGCTTCAAGGCTAAACATGGGATTTTACAAGGATAGAACTCAAATCTAGACTATAACCGTTTGATTCTAGAATGAGATAGTTCAAACGACAGGCACCACGAAAAATCAATATATATATATAAGAGGAACTTTTCAAGAGCATACAGAGAGCCACATAATCCTGTCATGTCATTATATATAACAAATATGTAATTACTTTCTATACCTTTTATTTTCTACGGAGTATTACGTTTTGTATATTCATCTTATTTGGTAACTTTATCAACTTCAAAATCACATTTTAATTTATGTGTATTGACTTTACACGTCGGCAAGATTGTAATTTCTAATTTAAGAATTTAGAAACAAAAACCTAATGATATTAGCATCACTAGGCTATATTTCCATATTTAAGTTTAAACAATAACTTTAAACGACAATAATGATGTTCGTAGCATAATAGGCCAGATTTTAATTTATGTGTATTAACTTCAAACTTCTTCTTTTTACTCCGTATTAGTTTAGACAATTTTTTTTGAAAGGATTAGTTTAGATAACTTATAATTGTGCAATGGAGAAAAGATTTTGAAATTTTAAAAACTACACTTTTAACCATTTTCAATGTGACGAAATAATGAGTAAAAGCATTTGAATTTGTCACTTTTAAAAATAAAAAAATTAGGCATATCATTCAGACAGAACTTAATCAATTTCAACATAATCAGTCAATTCGACCAATTTTATTGTTATCAAATGGGCTCTATATTATATTGAAGGGTTGTTTACTCTTAATCTATCAAGTACTGTCTGGATCAAGACGTCTATGTAGGTTAAGATGTATATTAGGATAAAATGATATTTGTATATGAAGTTGTTTATTTTGTATGGTGAATAAACGGTCTGAATCAAGTCAAATAATCAATTTAGTATTATTCTTAGATTATAGTGTCAATGAAAAACTTCATTTATTAATGTAAATTTATTCCACAACCAAATTAAAAAAATTCATATTTAAAACTAGCTAAATTACGTACTGAATTTAAAATTTCAAGTTTAACAAAATTAAATGGAACTTTTAAATGAGAAAAAATATCAATACTCTAACACGGAAGGAACAAGGTGAAGTCCGATGACAAAGACACCTAAATACAGTGAACACTTAGAGCCCGTTTGATAACACGAAAATCGGCTGATTATGCTAAAATTTATGAAGTTCTGGCTGAAGTGACTGCATTGACTGATTTTGCTGATTTAAGGGGAAAAAATTAAAATATACTTTATTAATAAAATAATGAATTATTTTATGTAAAAATAGCTAAAAATAGCATGAGGACCAGGTCTCAGACCAAACAATTTCCGTGGGCTTAATTTTTACCGTTTTACTGTACTTTTCTTTTGCTTTTTCCTTTATTTTTTGTATGCCTTTTATTTCGCATTGTACCCTATCTTTTTCTTAATAAATTCCTCTTTCAATTTAAAAAAAAAAAGTTCATCTACAGTAACTTCAGTTAATATAGCCAGAAAAGTATCACCAACCTTACTTTTTCTTATTATTACATAATTCAGCGCGTGAAAACAAAAGTTACGTGTTTGGTGAAAAAATCGGCTGATAAGCCGAAAACAGCCTTACGAAACGGCTTCTTATACTTTAACGGAAGGAACGGAGGAAACAAGAGTAAAAATATATGGTATAAGGATGGGAGCATACAAGAGAATGTTGCTTTTTTGTTACACAACACATTTTATAGAGTATAAAAAATATCTTTATCATTGATGTTGATAATAATATAGATTAGAAATGGTCAGGAACAAAATTACTTTGCTTAAAGGAGACCACTAAGTAATAGCACACTCATTAGGTATTATAGGTAAGGAAATGATTATATTTGACACAATGAATTCAAGTTTGACTAAACCATCGGCTATTACGGAGTATCTAGCCTAGATTGAAAGCGAATTAGCTAGCTA